GTAAGTTTTCTAGTTTTCATGCTTTAGTTTATTTTTGTTTTCTAACATTAAAAAAAAGAGGAAGAAGCAAGGAATCATTTGAGCAGACTCGATCTCACCACCTGGTGACGATCGTCACCATTCATTGGTGACGCTCGTCACCTCTTCCAACGCCAGATACCACTTTCAAACTATGCTATTTGCGTTTTGTTTCTTCTATGTTGACCAACTCTATGCTTAATAACACTGGAGACAGTGTTGTTTAAGTCTGGGGGAGGTGGCAACTGACGTTGTATACATTTTGTTTTATTTTTAGAGTCTTAAAGTTGAGTCAAAAACTTGTTTTATAGAGTCAAAATTTTGAAACTGTCAGTTTTTTTGGAACTAACCATAAAACATTGATGCTTATAAGAACCATTGCCACAGTGGTTGATTACAAGCCATACTTAGTTGAAAGCCATAGGTAGATCAGTCTAGCTATGAAGGTTTAGGTTTTTAGAAAATCTGGAAAATTTGCTGTTAACTCCACCTTAATAAACTTGAAACTTCTCATCTTGGGGCTTGATTCTCATTGATCTTGATTCTCTCTTTCAACACTGACAAGAATGTTTAGATGCAGTCTCTCTTTGATCTTCCCTGACACAGCTTTTAAGAGTTTTAGTCTGTTGAATAGTGCATCATGACCATGTCTCCTTACAAGGAACAACAGTAGTGAACACTCAAGAACCTGTCTCCTCACAAGGAACACAAGTATTGAGTAGCATCATATCTTAGACTGTAAAAAAAATGAGAAAAGAAGTTGAAAAAAATTGAAAAATATAAAGGAAAAAATCAAGGGAAGAGAAAATAGGAGAGCTGTGTTGAGATTGATTTGTTCAGTGTTAAGGAAGGGAAAATAATCTATAAGTGATTGAGTTGATAAATCCTTGATGAGATATCACACTTAGATAAATATAAAGAGTTAGCAGTAGAGATTTCAGATTTCTTGAAGCGGCTTGAACTGCATTTGAGAGATTGCTAAGCGTGTGATGATTAGACTGAAATTTGATCTTGTGTTGACTCTCTGGTATATGGATTCGAAAGTGTTGATCAATGTGGCGTTCCTAATGTTTAGCTGACTGTTTCTGTTTTCAAACTTCGGCCCTGTTCTTTGTCTGATGTTTGTTTGATGACAAGCAACAGCTAAGTTTGGGGAAGTTGATATATCATGGTTTTTATGGTTTTTAACCATGGGTATAAATCCTTTTTATTGAGTCTTTTTGGTCTTTTTAGAGTCCTAGTAAAGTCTTTGCAGGTTATAGCATGACTGAAGCATAGTTAGAGGTTTTGGAGCTTTTTGGATCATTACAAGAACCATCCCCGAAGTTAGCAAGTCAGAAGCCGTTATCCTGCAATTGGTGACGATCGCCACCACTTATGGGTGACGCTCGTCACTCTCATCTGAAGAAAATCGCGACATTGTATTAAAAGATGGAGAAGATATTGCACTTTTAGCCCAGAAGTTTCACTATTTGCAAAAAGGCCCCAGCTCGTGATTTAGCCTGTATATTAAGTTTTTAGCAATTCTTTTGGCTTTTATCTTAGATCTTATTTCTTAGAGAGACAAAGAGAGAGATTTGTAGCAGAGCTTTTGGAGAGACAAATCAGACTCATTCAGAGCAGATTTCGAACTCCTTTATCTTTATTTCTTATTTCTTTTATGCAACCTATTCTATTCATGATGTTTTCTCAATTCACCATGTCTGAGTAGTTTGTTAGTTAAGTTAGGGTTTTTCAATGGTTGATGAAGAGTTTGTAGAATTGCTAATCTGATAGGAAATTCATTGGTTCTTCATATGTGCTTGCATTCACATTGATTTCTGGAGTTGATCATCTAGATTTTGAAACCCTAGGTTGTTTAATAGATGTGAGAACATTGTTAATCACCTGAACTAGTATTAGATGAGCAAAACGCCTATTTGCAAAGAGATTTGACTTAGGAGTTTTGTGAATAATCGAAACTTGATCTTTAATGCTTGCTTAACTTGTTAGAATTTGCAAAGAGATTTGAAGCTCTGTGATTTAGGCATAGATAACTTCTACAATGAGAATTGATTAGTTATATACTTGTGTTTCAAGTTCTAGACGGTTTTAATTCATTCATGATTGCATGCATTCTACATTCTCGGATTCAACCTACGAATTATCCTAACTTAGCGCCTTTAGCTTTCTGAACTTAGATCAATAAACAAATTTCACCTGCTTTCATTACTTTAGTTATTTCGCATTACATACATTATTTACTGCTTAGCTTAATCTGAAGCTGAACTCTATAGTGTAGTTAACTTACTCCCTTGGGATTCGATAACCTTTTGTGTTACAACTGCATTGGTATGCACTTGCAGTATACTAAAAGTAGGTAAAACTTAGACCCTATCAAGGGACATCTGTGTTGCAGGGAAAGTGAGAGGTGTTTCTGACATGGCAAACTCGTGCCAATGCTCCTCATGGTCAGAATCTCGTTCTGCACGACCTGGTTGGGCTGCATTATCAGTTGTTAGCTGAGAGTGTGTTTCTCACACAGCCATTTCTACTCCGTCCACACATTGGCTTAGTGTAATACATAGATTAACTTCCTCTATAGTTCGCCTCATTTCCAGAAATACAACTACCTCATTGTCCTCTTTTATGTACTGCGGTTCAGACCCATCCGCGTCATCAATCTCCAACCAAGCAGGGTATTGGTAAGAGAGTTTGACAACTGTAGCTTCTCTTTGACGTCGTTCACCAGTTCGGAGTGACTCATCCCGATCCGTAGCTGTATGGTACTCGTTCCTTCGGTGGATAAGGACTCAAATACCCATTTCATAATCGAATCTCGAATCCACTTCCCACAAACAACATGAACGTTTTCCTGATCTTCCATCTGTGAAACAAAACGATTTCCTTTTACTACGTGATAAATATAGTGTAGAACAGACAATGGAAGTTCATGGTATACGAAATACTTGAAGTATCATGACTCAAAAGTCTTATATAGTTTTCTATAACAGTCAGTCCATACTATTTGTAATTAAATTGACCGACGTTGATTTAATGGAGGAATCTTACCACAGTGGTTGTTGCTTCTGTATTTACTGAGAAACTGCTCAAATTTGCAATGATACTACTGAAAAGACAATATTTATAAAGTATTAACAGAGGCAACAATTTTTAATACAGAGGGGAAAACATATTAGCCACACAAATTAGAGTTAAGAGTTCTTCTTTAATTAGCAAGTAATTAGATGTTATGGTTAGGTTACTAAATGTGTGGATCTCCTTTAACAGTTACAACGGTGTAGGTGTCATATCAAAAGAGTTAGTAAATGGTTTTTCTTCTCATCTGGACAAAGATAATTTTGTTATTCTTTTTTAAACCATAATTATTTTTTACGATTTGTATCTCATATCGTTATATTATTAATTTTGGAACTAGGGGTTGCCCGTGCAATGCGCGGATTTAGTAATAAATTTTTTACTATTTTGCTTGCATATGATTATGGATTTAGGTTAAATATAAACATATGAAATTGATTTGGTGAAGTCAAAGATTTGATCATTGTGAAATTTAAGCATAGAAAGTATTACTGAATGTTTTTGAAATTCTAAATTATTTAAAAATTAGTGTTATTGTTAATATGAGAACATATAGTTTAAAGTATTTATGTATTATTGCTGGAAACTCTTAAGTGCTCCTAGTCCTGGAAGATATTAGTAAAAATCAGTTGGAAAACTCTTACAAAGCAAGTGGAAACATCGAAAATATTAGATATAGTCCAGTTCAAAGGTAATTGCAATGCAGATTGACATTCATACCATATGAAAGTAAATTGGATTCAAAAACAAAAAGGAGGCATTTTTTGTTCAACCTAAGATAAAATAAATAGACAATTTATAATTTTAAACCATAACAAATTTTTAATTTGTACGTGAGTCGCCTAAAATCGCATTTTACAAATTTCTTTAAAAATATAATACAAAACATATGATATCTTTAGAATTCAAAAGTTACAATAAGCTCTATATGCTCACATGAATAAGCATTGCGGATCATTAATCTACTTCAATATCTTGACATCTCTTGCCTTGATCGAAGAATACTTTTCATGATGAACATATTTTGGCGTCTTCATATGATTAAAGATTACATTACCTATAGCTAGATCCATAGAAATTACAAATCAATTAATTAAATAAAAATTTCGAACATGTTGTATGATTAAAAAACCAAAGCTTACATGTATTAGCGCAAACTCAATGGTGATATGAAGTAAGTTTGTATTTAATGTTTTACGTACCTTTCCCATTGATGGGATATTGTGACTGTCTTGTGCGTAACTTTATTCTGTCTGAAATGAATAAGAAGATCTCAAAGATGAATTTCGTTGAATTCCAGTTCATATCTAACTGTATGAAATCATCTCTTCTTTCTTGCAAGAATGATTCATAGTCAAATGAGATCTGAAAACAGTATTCTTCAATGCTGGCTCTCATTCCATTATCTGAAGAAGGTTATGAGCTTTACCTTATCCTTTGGTGTCCTAGCCTTTTCCACCCTTTTATCATCGCCAGCCTTCCATTTTTTCCATTACTTTCAGTTCACTTCATTTCATCCTCACCTAAATCGATGATTCTTTATTTATTTTTGTTAAGAACCCGATCATACCTTATTTCCATCGCTTCTCAACTATTTCATTTATTCTTCATCTCATATATATTTTAGTTTTTTTTTTCACTTTCTTTTCATTTTCTTCTTCGAGTTTTATTGCTTTTAGTTTGTTATTGTCTAGGGCCACCTCTTTCTTCTCCATCGTAATCCGCTTATCACAATACCCCACACGATGTATTTCTACGTCTCAGAATTAATGATGCCTCAGAGGATATAATTTAAAAAGAAAGGAGCGCTTACCTAGTGCCAAACAGAAAAACATACTGTGATGTTTAGGAAGATAGATATGTTTTGCAAAAAAAAAGGAAGATAGATATATTTTTTAACTAATACTATCCGACAACATGACCATAATAAGTGAGACATACTAACCTGAAGAAACAATGAATTTTTCTCGATTTCATCTATCCAGAAAATCATTTTAAATAATCAAATATCTTCACCACCACTTTGTGCATGACAAACTGTACCTTACATATGTCATTACTCCGCCTCTGAATAGTAATTACCTACAAACTTTCCCAAGTTTGAACTCGCTGAGAACAACAAATTCTGAACATTCCTGCACCGATTGAGCATATTTTGATTTAAGGAAAAAGAACATAACAAATGCCACATATAACTTGCTTTTCTAATTTACTATGTTTATGATAAATTGGTACTTACCTTTTCATTTTTCTATTATGTGTGTTGGGTACATGAGTTCAGTTCTGCAAAATAACCATGTTTGTATAAAGATCGATCAGAAAACAAAAGATAGAAACTAAAGATCTCTTTTTTCTTACCATATGAGCCATTTCTTTAGTACTGAGGATGTAACGAACATGAATAAGAGCGTACAACATCTCAGCAGCTGACTGCACCATCTCGTTCTTCTTTTTAGTGAACATATCACCTAGTTTCCGGAAAACATTTCCCCAAATTTATACAAAAGATCACATAAAAATAAAACTAATTTAGCAATGGACCTGAACAATCACCGTTTGATGATTCAACATCTCATATGAGATCAAGTGCATAATCATAGTAAGAAAGTTGACCACTCAATCCACAAAGACTGAAATCATCATATATGTAATCTTCATCTACTTCACAGAAAAACTCATTCCCTCTCAAATTACCGAACCACGAAATACAACGTGTATCTACAAAAAGTAAAATTATACCCAAAATCAGAAATTAATTTCTCCAGATACTAAAACCACAGAAACTGACAGAGATTTAAAAGTAAAACAACCTTCAGATGAGCGAAAAGAGCGATGATCGGGAAACTGAGAGTGCAGTGGAGGTTGAGGGGAATCAATCATAGATGTGGAAGGTGAAGATTTCTTCAGATGTTTGTCTAAAGCATCATTGATCCGTTTTCTATCAATAGCTCCACCGATATCGACGATCCACCACCACCCATTATTCCTCCACTCCGATCCTTGTACATAACTCGAATCAAGTCCTGCAAACAACAAAGCAATGTAAATTCGGGCTCTCTTATCATAGTAGAGATAAAGAACATATGGATATATATATATCATCTCGCTATTCACATGGGATAGAGTGTCTTTTATCTGGTTTGTCTTCGAACAAATACAACACGTCATTCTCTAACCTTATACATTTGATTTGCTACAGTTACCGTACTTCATGGTTGGAGGCTGTTTCAGTTGCCATGTTCATCTTCCCCTTATTCTTTCTGCTGTGAAGATATGTTATCGCCATACTATTTATGCTTTTTGTTTACGTTTTCTATGGCTTTTCGATTTCCGGTGCTATTGAAGGTGATTAAACCAGATTTTTCATAAATCTTCTGTGTTTAATTAGAAGTTGAAGGTGTTGGATTCCGTAGAAGGGAGAAGACGAAGGATTCCGTAGAGTCTCGTGAGTGGATTTTATAATTAGGTTTTTGCCTTTCTATGGGCTTTTTTGTATTGAAATTGTTTGGACCTATGTTAAATCACGTTTCCGAAAGAGTGAAGGTAATGATGATGTGTTTATTTTGCAATCTTGTCATTGATTATACTTGGGATTAGTTTTGCCTACGGCTCTGAGAGAGCTTCAAATCTATTTCTTTTATATAAAAGAGATATTAGCCTAAAAGACCTTAATTATTAAACAGACATTGGAAGATCCACTAGATATTATTTGAGAAGTAACATTATTGAAAATAGTTTATTTGTCAACACTACAACCAAAGTTAATGCTTTTAATTGATGACATGTAAATGTGACATGTCAAATTTCTTAAAATAAACGAAATGTTTTAATTGGTTGAATTAAAATTATAGTTGTGGAATTAAAACATAAATAAACTAAATTATATTTATAACACTAAAATTAACAAATTTAAATTAACAGAAAAAAATTTATTATAATTTTAATTTTTTACATATATTCATAATTTCATAAAATATAATTATGAATTTTTTCAACAATATATATATATATTATAATTTCAGACAAAACAAAAAAATAATACTAAATGATCTAATAGAATAGTAAAAATTCTATTTATTAATAATACTTGAAGTATGATATATTTTTATATCGGAAAGTTATTAATTTACAAAATATATTAATAACATCTAAACAAGTTCTAAATAAAAAAATTATTAAATAATACAATTTTAAATAAAATACAATCATGATAAAAATAATTTAAAGAATAAAATGTTAAAATAAAAAATAATTAACTTTTATTGAAATGGTTTTAAAAAATATAATTTTAAATAATTTTGTTTTCAAACCGATATTTACTAATTGAATAAAGTATATACTAATTATTATTTTATAATATTAATAGGTCATTATATTTTTCTATAACTTTTATCATCTTTTTATTGTTGTTTTCTAAAATATACATAACTTATGTTAGCATCTCATTTTATCTCTTATTATATTTTAAATAAAAATAATAGCATATGCATATATAAATTTATTTTCATTGTATATAAAAATTTTGAGATAATAAATGAAATAAAAAATAATTGAACGAAAAAATAAATTATAATAAGATGAAACAATATGAATCAGAAATAAAAATAAAAGTATATAAAAGTAAATCTCTCGCACTTTGTTTTACAAAGTCACTTAAAAACTTTTTAACACGTAAGAGCCATATTTTAATTTTTTACAAATACACGTACATACATATATATTAATTGTACATTAGTTGAAGTCACATGCGAACTTTTCCGTACATGTATTTTGTTAAGATTGATTACAGTCTAATTTTTATTTTAATTATTATACAATTTATATTTTTTAAAATTTTTTATCTATTCTGAGTGTAGTGAAGTGGTTGGTATGCTCGCACATGCGTACCAATTATCTATCCGCTCTTAGGAATAAGTAAAAATTATAAAAACTATTTCAGTTTAATTTATAATAAATCAAAAAAATATATACTTAAATATAGTATATATATATTTGCAAATTCATATTATGTAAGACGCAAAAAAGCATATCGTAGATTGTGTAAGAAAAAATAAAGCATATTATAAAAATATTTAAAAAATATTATAAGAATTTAATTATTATTTAATATAACTTTTATATTTATAATTATATATTATTACAAGCATTATAAATATAAAAAGTTTTAAAATACATTGGTTTCAGAAAGAAATTTGTAAAATATTAAAACAATATATATATATATATATATATATACAAACATACCAATATTTAAAAAAATTAATTAATATTAAAATATTATAATTAACTATGTATATAAAAAAATTATACCTGCACATATGTACCGATCAACCACCTAATATAAAATTAAAAAATAAAATAGGACAGTAATCGCAACAACATCCGGTTGCCTTCGACACCACAAACAAATCCGTCCAATCACCAAAAGCGAACCGAGAGGGGAAGAAGCAGAAAAGGGACGTCATAGACACAAAAAAGAATCGCCTCGCGGTTTATCGCAACCTCTCGTCTCTTCACTTCCGCCATTGAAATGGCTCTGAAGGCTTCACCAGTCGCCGGATTATTCCCTTCTCTCCGCCCTACTGCTTCTTCATCCCCTTCGACTTCTAATCGCGCTTGTTCCCTCAGGGTACTTCCTCTCCGACCATCCTTCTTCGGAAACTCCGGTGCGCCTTACGCCTTCTCTTTAATTTGCTTTCTCTTTAATTTGATTAGCTTGCGCGTTGTTATTCGATTGCTTCGAAACCCAGAGAGAAATAGTGCAAGCTATCTTAGATTTTGTCTTCTAAAAAGTGTGGACCCAAAGTAAAATTTGAAGTCATAGGTATGATTTGTTGGATTTTGTTAATTGATCTACTGTAAATTCTCAGTTCCAGAGTCATCTCTTTCTCATAGAAGAGATAAATAGGGTTTATCATGCTTCAGAAATAGTCTTTGGGGGTAACTTTGTGGTTTACCTTTTCTCTGTACTCGATGACTAATGGACTCTACTTGAAATGCAAGACACGGTCTCGTTATCAATGATTTCAGTATGTTATGCTGATTTCTATTATTGTTTTATCTATGAAAGGTGGAGCTTTGAGAGTAAACGAGCTGAGACTGTCTTGTGCAAATAGACTGAAGTGCAATGGTCATGGTGCTACAATGAATCTATTTGAACGGTTTTCAAGAGTGGTCAAGGTACTTATAACCTTGCTGAGTCTGTATCGGAGAGTCGAGTGTATATTTTAATGCGTTTGGAGTTCATTAATCAGATTTTAATGTGATTTTTTTTTTGTTTAAATAAGCGAAGTCATATGCAAATGCACTTATAAGCTCCTTCGAAGACCCGGAGAAAATCCTGGAACAAACTGTCATTGAAATGAATAGTGATTTGACCAAGATGCGTCAAGCCACTGCACAGGTATGTTTCTTGCTCTTGAAATTTTTTTTGATGTTTTTCTTTCTGAAAAGTTCATAATTTTGGATATTGGCTAATTTGTGTATTTTCAATGTGTCTGAAGGTTTTAGCATCACAGAAGCAGTTGGAGAACAAATATAAAGCTTCACAGCAATCTTCTGATGATTGGTATGTCTGTTTTAGCCTGGGGGACCCTTGCTTTCTTACATAAATTCTTAACTTGGCTAATTCTTCTTACATGTTACATCCTTATATAGGTACAAAAGGGCACAACTTGCTCTTGCAAAAGGCGATGAAAATCTTGCACGTGAAGCCCTTAAACGGCGAAAGTCTTTTGCTGTAGGTTATTTCTTTTCAATCTCTTATCATCCGTTTTATGATCTCAAGTGTGCTTACTCCAACAATTAAAAGAAGCCTCGACCTAATTGTTTAACGCTTCGAGCCATTTGAGGCTGATCTCTAGATTTTCTGCCAAGTTTAAGTATACAATATTTTGCCTCATGACTCCCTGAGTAACTTCAAATAGTTTTCTGAATTGTGGACCTTGTGATAACTGATAATCATTTTTAGATGGAACTGAGTTTGGCGGTATTTATAGTTACATGTATTCTTTTCAAATATCTTGTTATTTTTTAGTTTTCGCAAGGTGTTTTCAGTGTCAGAAAAAAATAAACGAATTTGGACATTTTTCACACTATGGATGCAGCCAAAAATGATCCTTCTGTGTTTCTACATATTAGGATGTTAACTATTGTGTTTGATGTGCTGTTGTTTGAGCAACAGACTGTATGGCTCTTTTTTCAGTTTCTCTGCTTATGTTTTTTTTATTGCAAATGGCTGAAGATTTGAAGGCAAGAAGGGACGTTGTCTCTATCTTTTACCTGCTGATACCTTTCTAACAATTTTTGAAGTCTCTTCAGTACATGCATTGTCTAGCTGTTACAAGTTGCATTACAAACAAAAAATCTTATAGTCTTAGTACTTTTGGTATTGAAGTTATTTATTTTTTTATTTTTTTAATCTTAACAGGACAACGCTACTGCTCTGAAAACTCAACTAGATCAGCAAAAAGGGGTTGTCGACAATCTTGTTTCAAATACAAGGGTTAGTTATTACCCATTTCATCTACATATTTTGTCTCACTATATATTTTTCCAGTGCACTCAACAAATTAAAGAAGCATGTACATTATTTTCTTCATGCCGCCTTTACATCCGTATGGCTTGGAGATAGGGACCATCTTTAATTTAGGACGTCTCAGTCTAAGGTTCATATGATAAGTATCTCTCTTCACTTCGTTTTAGGGACTAAGGAACTATTGTATCTTTACGGACATAACGTTTAAGATCCGTAGCAGAGAATGCTTATTTTTCTGAAATTGTAGGACGAAGTTTGGTTCTTAGGAAATTGACATCTGTTTGACCCAAAAAAAAAAAATGAGTACTGTAAAATGTTTGTTGTTGCACCTTTTCTTTGCAGCTCTTGGAGAGTAAGATACAAGAGGCAAAAGCAAAGAAAGATACGCTACTTGCACGTGCTCGAACTGCTAAGTTTGTAACATTTCCCGATTATCCTTCTTTACATCTTATATGGGAATTATCCTTCTTTACATCTTATATGGGAAACTTGTCCATATTGGATCCTTCTTATATTTTCCCAACTCTTTTCTTTTTATATTCGTGCTAGGACTGCAACCAAAGTGCAAGAGATGATAGGTACAGTGAATACAAGCGGTGCTCTTTCAGCTTTTGAAAAAATGGAGGAGAAAGGTACACTCTCTTCATTCTCCAAATTTAGCAAAACTTTTAAAATTTTGTCTATGCATCAGTGACAGCTGTTAGTCTTATTATTCCTTTCTGAATTTGAAGTTTGCCCAATAGTTAGGGGGAGAACAATAGTTACCTCTTCGGTATTTGAAACTGAGTAGAGTCCACTTTTTCCAAAGATGTGGTACTTTTTCGATGTAAGCTAGTTTACTTGATACCTGGCCCTGCGGGATGTAGTGACATGAGCAATGGTGCTTCAAATTTTGGGAAATGTGGGTGTGAAATTAGTGTTATAGTTAACTCATGCAAAACAATGGAACACTAATATAGTGTGTGCTCTGCAACGTTAGAGAAAAGGGTAAACGTAGTCGTATCCTTTCTTGTTTAGGGACGAGAGAGAATTGACACTATTTATCGAAAACAAAATGACACTGAATAAGTTTTTTTTTTTTAAACTATTTCTAGAAATTTGTTTATGTTCTTGTGAACCATGAACTTTTTGTCTGTTTTCAAGAAAGGTTTTATTTATATTAGTCGCTGCAGTAATATTCCCCTTATTCTCTCAGTAGATTTCTGAGTTACTGGTATCAGAACTCTGAAGTTGGGATTTTCGCTGTGATACTCTGCATTCTTCTTTTTGATGTATGATTATTCTGGTAGAGTCTAAAATCTATAAACTGGTTGATAGTGATGGCTATGGAGTCTGAAGCAGATGCACTTACTCAGATCGGAACTGATGAACTCGAGGGGAAGGTTGGTTGTCGATCTCCTGTCTTAGTATTTCTATTAGGAAAATCTCTCTCTTTTAAATTGGTTTCAGAGGTAAAATCTTGCATTCCAACATTTTTTTATGTCTGAGAGGATAGCACAATCTGTTTTACTGTATATTCGATTGGTTTCATTTGAGCAGAAAAAGAGACTTGTCTTTTCGGTGGTAGGAGAAGAACTTGTATTTATACAACCATCTTGACATTAACTTGTTCTTCTTTGTGACTTGCAGTTTCAAATGCTTGAAACAACATCCGTGGATGATGATCTTGCAAACTTGAAGAAAGAGTTGTCCGGAAGCTCAAAGGTTTGTAAATACGTTTATAATCTCATGGCTGGGTTCACAGTTATCAGAGAAACCTGGAACGACCGATTTGGTTTCTCATCGAGTAATTGGTTACCGAAAATAGATAAACTTCCACATTTAACATGCAATTGCACTCTGGTTTGTATCATAGACATTCTTTATAGTGATCCTCTGTAATGACATGAAGCAGAAAGGAGAGCTTCCTCCAGGGAGAAGCACCGTCGCAGCAAGCACAAGATACCCTTTTAAGGACTCGGAGATCGAGAACGAGTTAAACGAATTACGAAGGAAAGCTAACGAGTTCTAGGTATCGGCTGTTTCTGAGTTATTTTACTGGCTAAGTTCCTTGTGTAAACTATTTTCTTTCTTGTAGAAAAAAACACCAAAAGCATGTTTTTGGGTAATAAGTAAATATTATCGGCCATCTTTTCCCCCATTTATATAGTTTGGTTAAATTGGTTTTCTCATCAGTTTTAACTGGCTTTGTGTTCGATTTTTCTTTTGGTACACCTCTAAAAAGGGAGCCTTTTTATTTTTCAAATAAGACGATTGATTTAGTCTTTAATTAACGATTGAAGTTCTTTTTTAGTTATCTCTATCACGAAAAATACATTTTAAAGAATATTAAAAGAATATTTTTACTTATAAAAAATATCATTAAATTAAGAGAATTTTACAGTAAAATGCACTTTGCCAAACTCTAATATTAAAATAAGTCATGTATACTTGGGACATGTAAAAGGACAATTTTATCTTTATTAATAAATTGACACATCAATTTATAAGATAACATGTAACAGTATACTAAGTGATTTAAGTTCATAGGTATTTATGAATTTTTGTTTACACTTAAAGACACTTATTGCTATTGAGAGATTTTAAAAATTTTGGGGTTGTAAAATACTAATTTTATCTTTAATTAATATTTTTCAATCAAAACTCTTAAAAAATTTTTGAATGTTGATAAGGTGTGGTAGTCTCAGCTTCCACTTCCTTCTTTTTTATCTTTCTTCTTCCTTTATCTTCCTTATTCTTGCTTGTTCTTTCTTGTACTTTCTTTCTTTTTAGCCTTCTTTTTTTTTTTTTCTTCTTCTTCTTCTTTCTTATTCTTCTTCTTAATATGTTTCAACATCAAATTTCTGTTTTCTTCTGTATATTCAATTCACGGTTCCTTTATTATCCTAGAACATTAATTGGATTCGAAAGTTATGATGATTAATTGTAAGCTCTTCTATAATTAAGTCACCAAAATTTGCCATATTTCGGACTGATCATAATGGGGACTTACTGATTCGACATTAGTGGATAAAATGTTGAAATTACAAAAGGTGATCAATGGTAACATGTGGATTAAGTGCTATGGATGGTAACATGTGGATTAAGCGATATGGATGGATTAATAAAATTTAACTTCATTGGGATTGGTCACTTAAAAATCAATATGTTTGTAAGTGTTAGATATATGTTGGCGTAGACAGGTTCCCATCGATCTTTTCATACATGGACACAATATAATGGAAAAATAACAGTGGATACAAATATAATGGACACAATATAACAAGCATGATGCAGTTTTTTATATATTCTAAAATGAAAATATTTGAGCTCTCAAAACATTGGATATCTTTGTATGAGAATGGTTTTAACATATGGATATGAGTATGATGGACAGAGTGTCATGGGCACTTATATATGGACAATGAAAAATTCTCAAAAATGAAGTATCACCATTCAAAATGGTTCAGATCGTACTTCTAAATCTTTTCTTCAAGAATGATCAAATCAAATTTGGAGATCAAACATAATAGTTTCTTGCATTTTCAAAGTAGTAATCTCAGTTTCAATTTTTTTTTTTTATTTTGCTACCTTGAGATTATTTGTCCGATAGCCACAAAAACATCATATTTGGTTAAAGCTCAGATTTTGTGAAATAAATTTCTTACTTTTTTTTATCATCGAAAATTTTCAATTGCAGATCTGTGAATTTGTATAGAGATACACAAATAATAAAAATAAACAAATTCTCAAACCAATTACAATTTGCAAACTACAAAGAAAACAAAGAATAAACTACATGACAGCAATAGGGTAATCCATTCGTCTCTGCTCATCTCCCCTAATCATTACACACTTGAAGGGAGCAGATGATGTGCATACTATAATGGACACAATCGCTTGGACACAATCAACATGTACAATTGCCGTGTCCATGGGATTGTGTCCATAAGAATCCGTCCATAAGTGTTTGTCCACCACAATATGTCCATGAAACCCCGTTCGTGAGTATTTGTCCATCACAATATGTCCATAAAAATCACTTAATACAATCACGAGGACACAATCCGTGGAATAATATAATGGACATAACAACATGAACACATCAAAGAACACACTCGTGGGCACAATCTACTGAATTAACTCATTATTGTCCATAGTTTCGTTGGATAGGGTCCTTACCTTGACATCTATGGTGGCCATTGAAGTGGTTTAAGGAAGGACGATTCTTTTTATTTGGGTGCCTCTGAATTGAGAACATATCCATGAAAGGTTATCTATCTGAACATATCCACAAGTCCACAAAAACTGACTATACCGTCTTGTCCACCACAAATTAACCACATAAATCCAGTAATTTTCTATGGTGCTATAATAATCTGTGATCTAGAAAAATCATCAAAAATCCTATAACAAGAAATCTCAACATTATGATGAAAAATCTAATGCTAAAGAATAATGGCATAACAAAAGGGAACTAAATTTTACTTTTACTACATCGATTCCACAAAAATCAGTAAAATAAATATGAAATCATCTACCAAAAACACAATGATTTTGAAGTGTTGAAATTTTTAAACCCAGATCAGATCAAAGATTCTTAACTTATATAAATTAGAAATATCAAGCTTTTACAATCTTAATTGTTGTTTTCAATCTGAGAACCAAATAAAGGGAGGAGATTTCCAGATTTAAATTGGGAAAGAGATTAAAACAAATGAGAATAACAGAGAATAAAAAAAGGAAGAAGGAAGATGAATGTGAAAAGTGGAAACTTTCAAAACCATGGAAAAAAAAACACAAAGTGAAAAATTACTAAGTGGCTGTGAAAGCAAGGAAGAAGAGGCTGGAAGAAATGTTTATTCGCCATCCTTAGAAGCTCCAAACTCTCGATCTCTACACTGCAATTTTCTGGAAAGAGAGATACAAAGAGAAAATAAATTGTGTAAGGCAAAAGGGTATTAGTGACTTTACATATAGCTAAAGTATGTGAGCAGCAAAATGTACCTTTGATTGTAATTGCACTTTGCTAAAGTGTCTTTGGGGGTAATTATCTCCAGCATATTAGAGTTATTTATTAAAAATAATTTTGCTAAATATTTTATATTAAAAAAATTGGTAAAATAATAATATTTAAAAAGAATAAGGTTTGATCCTATTAGGGAAGTAAAACTGTCATTGTTCTGAGAAAGCACGCAAATATGATCAAAAATGTCGTTTTGAGAAAGAAAAATTTAAGCATTTTTTTGTGCTTGATCGATAGAAGGCAATATAGTATAGATAAAAAAAAATAGAAAAAGTGACATGATCTTACTATATTAAATAAGATTTGTTTGAGTGATTTGATTTTCATTTAAGTTTGTTAGATCAAAGAAAATTGTTTGGAAAAAAAGAAAAAAACAAGTAAAGCTGTTTTGTGTCTATTTGATGAAAGAGAATTCAATAAATATATTTATAAAAAATTATGTTTATGTTTGTTGGATGAAAAAGAATCATTTGGAGAGAATAAAAAAAAACTGAAGCTTCGTTTTTGTGTTTGTTTAACACATATAATTTTTTTCAAAAAAACACATGTCAGTTTCTTAGAAGCCACGTGACAATATATCAGAGCTGCTTCTGAAAAAAAACTCTTATTTTATTAGAATAGATTGCTTCTTCTTCATCTTTCCTTCTCTTCAGTTAGATACTTTGTCTTCCTCTTCCCTTCTCACAGATATTCTCAGGAGCTTTGCATATATCTAAATTAACAATAATCTTTCTCGACCATACAATATTGCTCTCACCAACAAAACCCATTTTCCCTCCAATTAAACAAAAAACAAAGATCATCATCTATTCAAAATCTTTTTTTTCTACCCAATCTCCGCTTTCTTGATTCTCCGCTGAGATACCTCCACATTCAAGTCATTGACATTGCCCAGATCTTCGACTGCGAGACCCAGCTCAGATCTGAATACCATAGATCCTTTGCTCTCAAAATCACTGTCTAGGGTTTTGGAATCCTCTCAAAGTTTTGTTTTTGGTAAAGAAATTGAATCAATCAGCGGCTTTTTTGAATCCATTGATCTTCCACATGACTAGGTTTTATGGCAAGAAAGATATGGACAATTATTGGTGGATGGATGTTCGTGGATAGTTACCAGTGGATGGGTGTTCGTAGATAGTTACCGTCCACATCATATGCTCATGTTCACAAGATTCACATCAATAGAACAGAATCACCCACACTTAATCCATTCAAACCCGTCCACAGTTATATCATATACCTCGTCCATGATTGATAATCCAATTGTCTTGTCAAGTAACTTATGAATGATTCACAAACCAAAGCCGTCCACGATTCCCAGTCCAGACATTTACGATCATGTTCTCTAAAAGCGTCCATACTTACTTGTTGTTCGATTTCCTAACTTTCATTAACAGTATTTTAATCAGTTCAAGCCACACAAATCATCTTAAGTGCCTTACTACTCCAAAGTTGCTTAATTTGTAAAGACATTCACATAAAAGAGCACTTTCATCACTTTACTTACAAAAAGAGCAATTTTCCCAACTAGAGTACTTTAGTTGTACTTTTCCTTACTTTTTACATATATTTATGTCTATTATGCCTTTAATGAAACCATCATTTTTTCTTCTCTCTTTTCACTTTTTTTTTTCTCTCTTTTGTAGTTATTTTTTATTTCTTTTCATATTTTTCGCGAACGGGTCTATAAAGTAAAATTATTTGTGAGAATGGTGGAATAAGTGCCAATAGTGGATGGGATGGGTATGAATACATTCGTAATCATTTCCGAGACAAACCACCATCCATATATATATATATATATATGTCCATTGCTACATATCCATGTGTACATACTAAAAACCATACATCTGAAACATATGGTTCCCACCTGAAACTAAGCTTAGTTGAATATCTGAATTTGGTACTATTATGTTGGCATGGAAGATAATCCATGGAGATCATATCATGGATAGTCTTAGTAGAAGAGTAATTGAGAAAGGTAAATGTGGGCATATATATCTTGCAAAGCACACATATTTGTTCATATCATTCCATATGCATGTATCCACATGTACAACCATCAGATACATGTATAAAAACTAAGTTCATCTTTGACATGTCTAAAACCAAGCTTAAAGATGAATGTTTAAATTTGGAACGTATTATATTGGCATGGATGCTAAACTGTGAATATAACAACGCAGATAGGAATGGAAGAGTAATTGAAAAAGGTAACTGTGGGCATATATAGGTGATAAAACACACATATTTATTCATTCATT